TACAATGTAAAATTATTTGTTTTTATAAATTTAGAAAAACGTTTTTAAAAATAGAAAATTGTATTTTACTTTCTAATAAAACTAGTAATAGCATTTAAACAATTTGGAATGCCCCTACTGCTATCATTGTATTCTCCACAAAGATGTTTTAATCTATATTTTCTATTACGTTTCGGTGGTCATCCAATAATACCCAGTTCACGCTGTGTGACTTTAGTTTTGTCTGCTGCATTTTCATGCCACATATTGGTAATAAATTTCTAAATTGTTGGATGCTAGTGATTCACCTTTTTCAGTATTAGACATATTGTATTACATAATTGAATTTTAATACCTAATATTAAATACTTACTAAGTTTAAAAACTGATTATTCCATCCCTCACATACATTGTTAGTCCGATCTCCATTGTTTAATGTTGCGTCTCTTACATTTCAGAGAGATGGTGTAAAATTATGAGATGTTTTTCGAATTTTATACTTGTCTCCGATTGCCCGTTTCCAACTCTTTTATACGCCCCTATATATGTGCGCTCAAAATACTTGACCAAATCTGTAGCTTCTCTAGGCATGAATCTTTTTAAATATGTTAAACCTTGAAAAAAATCAAGCTATTTATAGATATTTGAAGTTTTTTTTTTTTGACTTGATTACTTAAAAAGTCGAAAAAAAATAAAACTCAGAAATATCAAAAAATGTCAAAAATGCAAAATTAAATTTGTACTATTGAATTTTGTGTGACATAAGTCGAATTTCTATAAAGACAAGCCTCGAATATAAGCATTAGAAAAAAAATGGTGCAAATGCATCGTCCAAACCCTAGTCGTATGTTTTTATAATTTTATAATAGTAATTCAAAAATATTAATTTATGTAATTAAAAATTTATAAAATGTTTTATACTAATCTAACCTAACCTTTCCATATTTTTAATTATCAAATTATATTTTACGTTTTCACTACTTACCTGTATTAATATCATTTATTGGTAAAAATTTGTAATATTCCTGGACATTTTAACAAATTTGATTTCACGCAGTGCCATGATATTTTTTTTACACCTTTATATTTTATAGTATATGTTTGCCCTTTAAATATGGCTTTCAAACCACCTTTGTTTGATCTCGTCACTTTCATTAATACATTTATAAACTGCACTTCACTTAACACGAAAATCGAACGACGTTAACGACGATGAAGACAATAATGACGTATTATAGATTTTTTGGTAACAAAAAATTGAATATAAATTAAAAACTATACATTAATATAGTTACTTTATCAAACCAAATTTACACTATATCGATCGATACAATAAAATTGTAAACATTTTTAACAATAAAATACGTAATATTCTGGCATTCAGTCTCGTGAATTTCCAGTGTGAAATACAATTATTATTATATACTATTACATTTTACCTTTATCTCTAAATCCGTGTATGTTGTATGTATACAGTATGTTTTTTGATACCAAGTTTTTATAATATTTGGGAAAGACCAAAAGACGAAATATATGTAATTTTCAGATTAAGTACACCGTGATATTTTCATACGATATATTCTACGAAAAATATTTATCCAATAAAAAATAAAATATATTTATTAAAATAAGCAAAAAGCATGCTATTAAGTATTTACCTAAATTTTATGATAATATTGCTACAAACAAGTCAATTAAATAATTTGATACTTATTTTTAGAAAAACGGATACATTTGGATATTTTTTCCGTGGATATTTTGACCAATTTCCGTATATGTTGTAGCAGACTATTATTCCATGCATGGTAATGATTATCAAACGCAAAGGTGTATCATTTCTGGCACAAAATTAGTATAATAATATTACATTCCGGGTCGGTCTGGGTACCAAAGAGCTCAAGCTCAAGGAATTTTTACCTAGGAGCCAGTGACCTTACAAAAAATAAAACAAAGATAGCATAATATTAACTCTTAATATGTTCCGTCAGTAAATTTTTTAATATTGATAATTATATATTTTATAACCGTATTCGATTTTCATTAAATCCCCATACATTATAGTCACTAAATAATAAAAGAAAACTCCTATTTTAAATAAACGTTAACGAAAAAAAATATATATACAATCCAGTTCATGCACAGAGATTTAATTTCAACAAATATGTTTAATTTGATCAGATTCTAAAGTAGCTAGTTTCGGTGGTTCAATTACCTAATAACATCCGATTTCGCCGTGCTTAAATACAATGTTCCGCGAAAAGCTAATTTAATAATTCAATAAAAAACATTTACGCGCATTCGTGTAATTAAATAGAGATTTCGTTGCAAAAATATGTGTAGTAAACTAAATTTGAAATTCAAATTATTTCCTCTTGCAGTAAAATAAAGAACAAACGTTTCGCATAAAATGTATCACATGAAATATATTATAATCGGATTAAATGGAGATTTTTGGCGAGTTCACGCGAATTTCGAATACCGAGTAGTGAACACGTCTCGTTTGAAATTCACTCGAAACCAATTACAAAACGCGAAGGTTTAATGTCGTGCGCTTCACGGAAATCGACGGTTTATACGTAAACCGTGAACGGTCAAAGGTAACAATTGAAAATTCACTGACTTCGTTTTTTATCTTTACTTCGCTTGGATTGCTTCGCAACCTTTATGACGGTTTTCATTCCTCCGTGTGCAAAGACATGATCTTCGACTCGGTCGTAAATTTCGTTTCGTCATGTCTTGAACACCACATGCCCGTCGACGTTGTTCGAGGCTCATTCAAGTCGTTCACGTCAATATTCTTTAAGATTGCGCAGAGATTTCTATTGATACGAAATCCTTCGCATTCTGCAAAAATCAATGTGTCAGTAACATTTTTTTAATTTATTTATCTTTTTTTATCGTGCACTAACCTGCGGTGTATGCCGGTGACCACGCACCATCGGTCGTGCTGCAAGTGGTTACGTAATATAGTCATCGCTCTCATAGGACTACTGCAGTGAACCACCACGTATCTCGCTGCTGACCGCTGCACTAAAATATATTGTTATTTGATCATGATAATGCATGTTATTGGAAATCACGCAGACCGGCCATCATACTTTTAATGCGACTTCCAGGTCTTTTAAAGTGTAAAAATTGAATATATTTTCTTAATGGATGCTCCAATGTTTACAATATCCCTTTCATGTATATTCCCGGGGACTTGATTCCTTTAATTTGAAAGGCTGCAAATTTAATTTAATTTTTTTTTTAATTTTAGTTAATTTAAAATTTTAATCGTGCCACGGCTGTGAGGACTTTTTTAAAACCCCATTATCGACTATCTTTCGTATTTAATAATATATTCCCGAACACGTCCCACGCTCCACTCAATGATTCCTTTTTAAATAAACAACAAAAAATAATAACAACATAAAGTCGTGTCCGCATCGTTCGTTCTTGCGGTATAATCGAACTACTCGTGCGTACGTGTAAGGGGACATTTTAACGTTCGTCTAAAATAAAAAGGAAATCTTAAAATCGTAGATAGTTGACGTAAAACCTTATATCCTACAATTTCTTTTCGAATTCCTATACAGAATCTGTAAAACCATCTGTCCATTTGATCGAAAATTTACCGCTGTTGAAAAATATCATCTAAAACAATAACTTTTGAAATAATATATTATATTAAACGCCATCAGTCTACTTCATAAATCAAAATTTAATATCACTTTTTTTTAAAGTATTGACATTTTTTTTAAACGTAATATTGTGTAATAGGTACATTTTTTGTGAACAATTTCCAATAAAAATCAAACGAAATGTATATTCCCTTTAGATATATTATTTTAGCCAATTGATAACCAGCGTTCTGATTAGATAAGTCATTTTTTATCTAGAAAAATATAAAAATAATGGAACTCTAATAATGTATCTAAATAAAGAAAAAAATATACAGCATTTAAATCAGTGTGAACCAAATATTATAGTATTTTTTTAGTTATTATTTTATTTGTATTTGTCTTACAGCAATATAGCAAATTCATACAGATCGAACACATGTTATATGTTCAATAATTTTTTTTTTGTTTAGGACTGTTAAATTATTGTTTATTAATGAGACGATGAATCTAGAACTGGTAAAAACGAATAACATATTTTTATAATTTAATTTTATTATTAATAATGTTATAATATTAGCAATTTTCATTTAGAAATTTCGTCATAATTATTATTATAAATTAAAACTTCTTCATTCCACTAACTATGGCTGTACCACCATTTCCACCGTATGGTGCGACTATCAAACGAGAACCTCTCTAGTACATAGTAATCACATTTGTAACTTGTTATATTTGTTATTACTATGTATTTAGCTTTTAACTGTACCTTGGGCACCAGCCCGTAATGTAATGTAAAATAGAAATAAAAATAAAGCATAAATAAAATATTTACTATATGACATTCAATCTATGATTATCCATAACTCAAAAAGTAAATATTATTAATAATTAATATACCTATAACTACAGTCGTCCATGCTTTGAATAGTAATTTTTCAACTTTTATAATAAACAATAAACATTACGATAGTAAAAATAAACATAAAAATAATAAATAAATAATAAATAATAAACATTATTCGTATATGCATCTCGGTAAGTAATGGAAAAAAATATTATGGTTATTTAAACATTTTTAAATTGTAATATTTGTTTTATAACTTCACCATATCCTAAAATATATTTTATAGTAGGATGTCTGTCAAGTGTGGAATTTTTTAAATCTTTTAATTTAATTTCCATAAAATTATAAAATAACATCTTTATACAACAATTGGTTTCATATTTATAGCTAATTATATAAATTATGGAAGAGGGGAATGCTTATACTTTTGTAGGCATAACGGCTATCGCTGTAGATTATTATAAATTATCTCTTTCCTTTAATGCACTTGTATACAATACACATGTCTACAGCTTCTACAACAGTTTTTTTACTAATTGTGTTAAGAATTAAAATTAAATTAATGTTTTCAGAGATATTTCTACGGAGAAGATATATTTGGACATCTTTATTTAATCGAATGATACTCATGATCAGGACTCGGAAATTCTAGCGAATGCACATTTTTCTTGGTTCATCCTAGAACATAGTAAGACACAATTATGTTTTATACTACTCGAATATCATACACATTTTTTGCTATTATTACGTGTTTTATTGCTATTTTGCTAATTTAGGGTCCATAGTGCTATATTTAGGTATATTTTCACATAATACAGGAAATAATCATATTCCATTGATAATAATGTTATTTACTTGATTATATTATTAAAAATATTTGAATTATTGAAAATAAATAAACCTCATCAAATATTATTTCATCGACAATGTGATGTATTTATAGTTAGTGACGTCGTTGTTTTTCCCCTATTGCGTCATTGCATTAGATTATCAAACATTTTAATAATCTAGGATAATTTTCAATGTAAATATATAAAGTAATTTAATTATAAGTACACTTTTACAAATATTTTTAAGTAATAAACCATTTTTATTAACAGTTTATAATTAAACCAGTCCAGACGTCTGAGCCTAAAAACTTGTAAAATTACAATTAGTTTTTTTCAAGTTAAATACTTATTTTTTTATTTTTCGTGTTATTTATAGCGCATATTTTAGAGTTTTTAAGTGTATCTTTAAGAGCTAATAAATAATATTTTTAGTGCTACAACTTCCAAGCTCTGCTCATGATACTTATAACCGTATGATTACACGTATTAAGTGTCTGAGATAATTATCGCATATTATGATGCTCATAAGCATCATAGTTAAATATGAACGGATAAAAAAGGTAAACACATTAAACGTATCTTTATTTGTCAACAATAATCGATCCACATAATTTGAGAATTTTAGAATTGAGAGATGCAAGCGCATAAATTAATAAACACATACGCATAGAAAAGTGTCCTCGGGATTTACACGCATTTCACGTAATTTAAGTCATGTGCATATTGTGGATTAAGTATAGTTACGCGGGCGCATGCCACTCCCAGGCTCATCATGTCCCCCATACATTACATTCCCTCCTCACCCAATAACCAGGTCCGTTCTGAGATATTTTATGGCCCGGGTCAAAATCATGCAAGTGTCTCCTTCATATATAAATATATTATATAAGGATATTATTATATAAGTAGTTTGAGGTTTTCGTTACACTTTTAATTTGTATTTGAAATGTTCGACGCCTATAGCGAAATCGTAAACATTAATCCTTTTTGCACCGGATTTCCTTTGATGCACGTGCTCGCTCTACACGTACAGTTTTACGAGCAATTATTTTATTCGAATCTCATATTACACACAATGAGTGAGAAGAGATAACCAGGGTTTTCATAATGAGAATGTTGGACAAAGTTCTCTTTCAATTTAAATCTCATGGAGATTACATACGTTTGCTATTAATTAAATGAAAATAACATGTTGTAGTTTTATTTTACAGCGGTACAGTTTTTGAGTGGTGGAATTGACATAAAAAGTTTCATGGAGTACGCAATTAAGATAGGAAATTGAATGCAAAACGTATTCAAGATAAGACATTTTTCGATTTAAAATTTGATCGAATACACGTTCAAATATAACTCTAAAGAAAATGTATAACATTATTAAATGAATGTTTACAATAATATAATGAGGGTAGACCTGGCCACAACAGGGGGGTCCAAGGATTTTTTTCTGGGCTCTAGCTATTTTACATATATTTTTTGAGGCCATCGTTCACTAAAGAAAAAATTAAAAACATAGACTCATATCACTTTATCACTATAGAAGACTATTAAAAGATTACAATTAAATCGTTCTAATAACAATGTAGTATAGTTAGTAAATAAAACGTTGATAAGAAACTAATTTAAACTAAATTAAACTAATTAGTTATTTTAGGATCGTTATAAACGAATAACAATATCTATAATTAAATATATATCAATATTAACAAGTTTGTTGACAAAACATTATACTAGTTTAGCTACTTTAGAATCTGATCAAAATAATCATATTCATTTTGTTGAAATTAAATTTCTATACGCGAACTGAATGTTTTTTTTTTCGTAAAAACATTAATTTAAATGAGAATAATGTTTATTTAAAATAGGATTTTTTTTTTTTTTTAGTGACTATAACGTGTGGGAATTCAACGAAAATCGAACACAGAATACGGTTATAAAATAAATAATTATTAATATTAAGAAATTTACTGACTGAACATATTAATAGTTAATATTATGATATTATACTATCGTTGTTTTATTTTTTGTAAAGTCAGCCACCCTTAAGTAAAAATTCCTACTTGAGATCTTTGGTACCCAGGCCAACCTTGAGTATAATATTATACTAATTTTACGCCAGAAAATATACAACTTTGTGCCTGGTAATCATTACCACACATGGAATGATAGTCTGCCTCCAACATATACATATATAAAATAATTATAAAAGATGACTTTATGTCTCTATGTCATAATTTCAACATTTAATTAATGTTTATCTGATTTGTGAAGTACAATACATCAGTATAATATTTGATAAGCACAAGAAAACCCTCAATAATTATTATACAAATATTTTCAATCGTGTGAACATTTTATTTTAAATATAAAATATAAAATAAATTACTTACAATATGTACAAAAATATACAGTAAATATACCTATAATTTGAAAAATATGAAAAAATTTTTTGTGAATAAAAAAAGGAATACATAAGGATCTATAAGCCTAAAATAGTAAAAAATGCAAAATTAATTGTACATACTCCGAATGAACGTAGCGTACAACTAATTTGTAGCATTGTTTAAGATTTAACGGGAAGAAATTTTACAGATCACAAATATCTTATATAAAGTAGTTATTATATACATGTCGCATATTACACTATATCGCTGCTGGTACAGTTAAACGTGTGCATTACGTTACGGGTTGGGGAAAAATAAATGCAATTGTAATAATAATAGTAAAAGTATTAATAATAATAATATAATAAATAACAACCTCGTAAAATGTCAAATACGCGTTTATTGTCCGCGTCGCGTGCTGGCTGGCCGGAGAATTTGACGTGTGAGATGAACGATGCGATATTGTAAAATAATAACGGCATCGTCGCGAACGTTTGGCGTCAGTGGCGGCCGCATTGTCGGATGTACTGTTATATAATATGAAGTTTAATAATAAAGACTCCCCGAAGATGTGTCAGCCACGTCACATCACGCGACCGTGATATCTAATATCCCGCGGGACTGAAAGAGCGGAAACGCCAAGAGAAAGTTGACGACGAAGGCGGTGGGAAAAGATCAGCGCAAATGGTATATATCTGAAGCTGGTAAACGGTAGGGTCGGTATGATCTCAGAGAGAAATAATCCACGTGGAAGGACACCGGGGAGTAACGAGAGGAACAGGGTGGTTGGGTGCAAATGGTTGGGTTGGATTAGGTTTTTGACGAGACCGGAAGACGACTGGAACGAAAATTTGCAGGTGAACTAATGAACAATTATCGACAGCTTTCGTGCCATTGTCGCCCTGACCCGAAAGCCGATCAAAATTATGCAACACACAATTTGAAATCTTCTGTAATTATTTTATATATATATATATATATATATATATGTTTTAATGTTTTTTTCTCATCACAACTGTATTTTCTTGTATACTTAGATTCTATACCGCAATAGTTTTCCTGTAAATCCATTCCGTACAGAAATAATAAATTTCCCAATCTAGAGGTATTTTACTTATGATATCGTTTGTACTATTATTATTAATTTTTATAATAGATTATACAGACTTGTATTTAGGTTTACTAAAAGCAAGTTACATTCAAAAGATGTCTTTCCAAAACGTGTTAGTTCCAAAATTGTTTAAATCTAGATGCCTATTGATAATTATTGAAAATACGACGAGCAATTCTTATATGTCATTAATTTTTGTACGTTGCCTTTATTTATCGTACAAAATAGACGTTTATGAGTTAAACTCCACTCTTGACTATCTAGTTTTTTCATAACTTTTTCTCTTTTTTTTCTAATTCACGGTAAAACGCAATAAATCCCACTCTATCTATATAATGTATAATAATCACACAAAAAAGATATCGTCTAATGCAAAACATAAATACACGTATGTATATATAGACTAAAAAGTTTTGTAAATCTTTACTAGAATAACCTCATGCCTTATCCGTCGATTAATCTTAGACATAAATGTGTAATATCATAGACTATAACAATAGTACCTTTTTAGATCCTCATAATGCAGTAAAACCTTATAAAGGAAAATAAATAAAATCCTGTTTCAAATATGCACTATAATGATCTCTTTAAAACGGAACCTCCATTAACCGGAAACGGAAACATTATGGTTTCATTCAAAACAAAAACTCTGTATACGTCGGGAAATAAAAATTGACCATTGTAAAATGTTATTATTCATGTTATAAAGTGAAACTCTTTTTACGAATCTCGTAAAATGAGGAAATACATGATTTTTAAAGAGAAAATTCGCGCTTAGATGAACTGTTTATAAGTTTTTAACCGCTTTTTCAAATGCTGAGTTATCGATATATTTATTAGGTTTTATAATCATGAGAATGTATGCAACCCTTAATCATCGAAAACAAACGAATACTACAAATTGTCTTTTTAATTTATAATGAATTTTGAATTATAAATTTCATAATTATTTTTTGATTGAATAAAATATATTATGTAATAAAATAAAAATACATGAAAAATAATGATCACGAAATAAATAAATACTTTTTATGTGCGTAATAATAATTTTTACTTAGAAATTATGCACGCTTTCATACGATTTTGAGTTTTTTCAAGACATATTTTTTTTTTTTTTACGAAAATCTCTTTATCAGATGGTCCCGAGTGATTCCGTATTTACTGAAGTGCTTCCCAAACTTTTTCAATTCACGACGCCATTTTTAGCCTTTTTTAACTAAGGTTTTTTTCAAGGCACCTTTTTCTAAATCATAGCATGATTAATCATAAGGAAAATGTATTTTTAGACCATATAATATTTAATGGTGGTGCGACATCCCTGTACAGATAGCGGTCCACAGTTCGGGAACCGCTGCTTTACTGCACT